TGTCTATGTTAGGATCAACTGTTTGGCGGCCGTATGTCTGTTGGAGGCCTGGATGATGTGGAACTTCATTAACTTCCATTTGCGACGAATGCGCGAAAAGGCCGCCGAAGCGGCCGCTCTCCGCAAGAAGAGCGCCGGCGGTGTCCGCAAGAAACCCAAGAAGACCGAGAAGGAAGACGTGAGCGAATTGCCTGAAGTGGACCAGAACACCAACAAAGGGCTCATCCATCGGCCCAATAAGGCGTCGCCTAAAGTCAAATAAACCCTTCTTTCACACACTAGACCTCCAAAAACGTGTCGACCATTTGTTTTATTGCGGAACTCATCCACTGATTGATTGTTTGATGGAGTGTTTCATTGGAGAGATTGTAGGCATTGTTTAGTATTTCTTAAGTGTAATTCATTTAGGAGTTCCTCTCTTTCTATACTTTTCTCGACTTTTAGTAATTGTATCGCAAAAACAGTTCAACTCTTTTCTCGAATTTTTATGATTTTTAGAAATCTTTTTTAGTCTTCTGTGAATTGACTCGAATTTTGTCTTTATATTGATTTTGGTTTTTCATACCTCTCTGTCCTCTCAATACTGTTCCCTTTATTTCAATGAGTTATTGTTTCAGAAAACTATTACCAAATTATTAATCAATTTATTCCATATTTTTGATATGAAAAGCAAAGTAATTATTTAGCAAAACCTATATTCATATTTACATATAGTTATGATTTTTATTTAAATAAATTATATTTGAATTGATTTACAATTATTTTCTCTCTATCGGGTTTTCATTGTTTTTATTTATTGGGAAAAAGTTTATATTTATATTTTGCTATTTCTTAATGTGTTTTCTTCCAAAAAAGTTTTGTTTTACACAAAATTTAGAGTATTTTTGTTGTTTTCAAATATATAAACTTTTCGATATTCTATTGATTTTCATGTTAATTGTCTTTCTATTAATGTTTTCGAAACCATTATCTAAAATGTATTTTAATTAATATTTTTAATTTAATTCTTTATTACAATATTTATCGTATTTTAATTCTCCAGAATAATTGTTTGTATTTTTGTTTAGAATTATAAATAATTATACAGTAATTGAATGAATTGAATATTTATAGTTATCTATGAATTCTAATATAAAATATTAATGAATCGGTTTTTAAAACAAGGGTTGTTTTACTCGATAAATAAATATTCATTTTTGTATTTTAAATAAAATGCATTTTTCATAAGAAAATTAAATTAAAAATAAAGTCAATGTTTGCGTAAATTTCTAAATCGTTATTAAATTGTTAGTGATATACAATATGGTAGTGATAGATAAAATGAACTACCGGTATTTGTATTTGGGACTTAAACATTTAAAATGTTTGTTTTAAGAATTTACACTTAAATATTAACTATATTGTGGATACTGTACTAGGTTAAACAAGAATATCAATACAATATACCGTATATTTAAATAAAAATTTTGAAAATGATACTATTTATACTTATTAGTAATAAGTTATTACTAATATTACGACCGTAATAAGTTATTAATCTACTACAGTATAGCCAAATAAACAAAATCTATTCAAATGTACTAAATTTAACATCTGATTTCTATAACAAACAACAAAATCATACAATAAGTTTTTATTATTTTGAACAATTCATGAAAACTAAATAAGTGATCACTAGAAGTACTATTGAGTATATATTTATATTATCACAAAATAATGAGTGAACTGAAGAACCTGTTGAATGTGATGTTTTACGATTTGTGTCAAACTTTTTAGAGATTTGCAAACAATTCAAAATGCTTTATTATTGTATGATTCAATATAATTTACGATACTTTATTCAGTAGATAAACATATTGTTTAAATATTTGTCACAAAACGTATATTTTGAAGTGAATTGATATTCAACTTTGAGATGAGAGTATTCAATAATAGAAATCACAATCAACTCATAAGATTACAGTACAGTATGTTATAATATAATTTGATATGATTTTTATATTTTGAAATTCAATTTTTTGACAATCTATTAATACAATAGTAAAATTATCATAAATGAATATTTATTTTAATATTAAAATTATTTGTAATTGTATTTTATAATTGAATAATGTGCTTAAACAAACTAAAGTTTCAAGTGTAATAATATTACTTTATTAAACAATTAATAAATATTCTATAAATATATAAATAATTAATTTATGAGTCCATTTGTTTTTACATAAATTTAAATTGATTTATTTTTTTCAAATAAATTAATTTATAGAAATCTAGATTGATTTAGCAAAACTAAATGCAGTTTTAATCTTATGTATTATATTATATTTAATTTGTTAAAATTGTATTTGACTTGAGAAATATGATATTTTTAGTTAAGAAGGTTTTAAATTATAAACATACAGCGACTCTGATTATAAGTTTTATTATCTTATAATCTTTAACAATAAACTCATTTATCTGTGATTTCTTTTAGTGAGAAAAACATCAGTTTATGATTTATTGATGCAATAAATGACAGAATTTACTGTTGTAAATTATAATTCATAAAATGTAATGTAAAACTTTACAACCAAAACTCAAATTCATTTTGTATATAGTATTTAAGCCAACATTATTGACAAATTAACATTGACACAATTTACTATTAAAAGCCTGATTTTAACAAAACAGAATAATACAATTAAAAATATGTTATATTGAACTCATTTAGATTCATTCAAATAATTTTTACATGTTTTCAATATGTTTGATATTAGTAAAACAATTGTTAGTCAACAACAGTTATATGAAAACGTATGATAAATGTCTAAAATGAAAATCTTCTATAAACATAATGTGTTTAAAAACATATGATATTTATATCGGAAATTAATTATCAATAAATTTTATTCAGTAGACAAAATGAAACCCACACATAAACCTGCAGGTTATTAGTGTAGCTATTTTTCAATAGTTTTATATTTTAAACAACAAAATATTTCTAGTACCTTAATCAATTTTAAATTACAAAAATTCTATTATTAATACATTCAATTACATAAATTTTACTATAATACTAAAATCATTAAAATAAATGTGAAAATACTTGTAATTCAAATGCGGTCTATTTGCATTAATATTTGTGAACCCATATTATAGAGACATAAAAGCGAGATAAATATATGACAAATAAAACAAGTAGTTGACTGAAATGCTTTAGCGATAGATAATGAAAAAAGCAAAATAAAAATCAAACAACATTTAGTTGTATTCACATAACAGGTGTGTCAACACCTGTAAACTATATTTCATTTTCAGTTTTAAGGCTATACTCATCGGCTTTCTGATCCAAAATAGCAAAATAGACTATAAGTTTGTCATAATTTCATTACTAGTTTCATAGATACGTTTGCATTGTTTTATCGCAAAATGTGAATGAAATTCAAGTTTAGGATTTGTGTTTCATTTATTATAAAATGATTTTATTTGTAGTGGAGATGAGGATGAAGGCAATCATTGTCTGAATTGATTTCAATGATTGTCTTCCAGACTAAATAGACCTGTTTTTACAAACAACCATTAATTGAAATATACAATTTGTTGCACTTGTTTCTGAACTAGAAAACTGTTTTTTGATAAACATTTCGAAACATAAAAACAAAAATTAGACAAACTATCAAATAATATGTTGCCGACTGTTTTACATCCGAATTGCTTGAAGCAACTAAAGTTCTCGTGAATTAATCAAATCATAAAACAAATCACTTGTATTTAATATAAATTCCTAATAATCGCTTTCATGTCTGTAAATGTAAGTAAAACTCATATTTTTGTCTGTGATTTATTTATGCAATTACAAACTTTACAAACAAAATTCTGATGTGAATCTTAATATAATTAAAAATATAATACAATATGTTCAGCATACTTTTGGTCAACCATTGGGAGCACTATATGTTAAACAACATGAATAATAACAACAATTACTTAATCGACGAGAACTTGCGTCAAGTGTTCAGCTATTGGGACACCGATAGGTCGGGGTATCTGAGCCGGGATGAGATGCGCGAACTTTGCGCCCGATTTAACATATTGTCCGAAGACTCGAACGCCATATTCGATGATCTCGACCGCGACAGTGACGGCAGAATCAGTTTCGAGGACTTCCGCACCGGTTTTGATGACTACGAGAAGGGATTGATTGTGTCGTCCATCGGGTCGACTGTCGCGCAAACCAATGGCACATCAAATACAGTCGAGTCGATCAGTAGTCTTAAGAAAGCCTTGGAAACGGAGAATATTTGCGACAAATTCACAACAAATGAGTACAAGACTAAGAAAAAACTTATTCAAACCGACATCAATCTCTCAAACGGGTAAACATAATGTATTTTTAGTTACTTTTATTACTTCTTAAAAGTTACTTGAAGATTCGTGTTTTGTTATGAGTTTATAGTATAAACTTTATAGTTTTAGAAAAATTAAAAATACTATATAATACTAATAAATTATTAACAAACAATTTCATCTATGTACTGAACATTGAGTCTAGAGTCTAGACATTAAGAAATTTAAATTCAATTTATTTTGAAGGCATTAAATAAACAATGAGTGAATTGTTTATTAACAACTGGATTGTATTAACTGTAGTGAGTCTTAAATATGTGATACAAAGAGAGGTCAATAATAGGCCCCAAACTCATGACAACGCAACTTATGTTAGCTAATACATGGCTGTAATAACAATGGCATATCATTGCCATCAAAATGACCATAATCATTGCCACTTTACAATACACTATAATGCAGTACACGAACCCAACTACCAGACTGACTGTCAAAACTTAGCTTACAAGTTGGATAAGTTATGCTAAATATTGGATTTTGTGTTAACTAAAATTTTAATTTAAAATTAACATTTGTTTTAATTAAAATTTTTATAAAAACATGTGACTCATTCAATAGAAATTAATTTTGCCTGTCTAAATATCGCGAATCACATTTTGTGATATCATATGATGTCATAATGTCTCCATTATTACGATAAATATTTTTATAACAAATTAAATTGATTATTAAATAATGCGTAAATACGCTAGGTTTACTACTTATGAGTTAGTATATCATATTATAATTATTATTCAACTTGGTTATTAAAAATCTATATTTTAAAAATGTCAAGATCAACTAATAATTTAGAGTATCAAGTAATAGAGTGAACAATAATCAATGTTTCATTGTTTCAATAAGTATTTTAATTTATATACACAACGAGTTATTGAAAAGTATCACAAAAACACATTACAAATAAGTTTATTTTTATTTTCTAACAAAATGTGTTTTACAAATAAGTTCATCATTTGTTAATTAAAAACATTCTATCAGTTGTTTAATGTTTATAAGCTATTCAAATAATATTCTCTAATAAATTCTATAATTTTTATTAATACTAAACATTTATACAGAATAATAAAGAATTTGAATTAAAAATTCTAAATAAATAAAGAATTTCTCAGAATTTCCTTTTAATCTGAGTCTGAGATGTCTTTTCGTAGGTTTTCCGAGCACTTCATCTCAGACCCGACCCAAGACTCACAGGTGAACACACTGTCAGTAATACAGGAGCTCTTGGAAAGTGTGCGCGAATTGCAGGAAGAGAACAACCGTTTGGCCAACTCGTGGATGAGGTGATTATCATGGGATCAATTGATTGATGAAATTGTCATAAAATGGTGTTCACATGGAAAGGGAGAAGAAGGAGCACGAGAAGCACCTTGTTCAGTTGGAGCATGAGGTGGACAGTCAGGTGAAGGAAGTGGAGCACAGAGTGAAACAAAAGGCCAAACAAGAAGTGGAGGCCGAGAGGCGGTCAATGAGGGACCTGATGAAGGGCGAGATGGAGGAACTCCAGTCCCATCTGTCAAAGTTTGAAAAGGTTTT